TGGAACTGGAGACCATTTCTTTGGTTAATATTAGACACTTGCCTGATGTATAAAACTAGACATAACGTAAGTAGCCAAACTGCTTAAAAGTGTGTGACTATGACTCTGAAAACGGAGACCCAGAGGAGGGACGAGGCTGTGCCGGTCACCCAGCCGGTCCTCAGAGAGCAGGTGTAGGATGCTCTTACTGCCTCTTCTGAGACACTCTCTGCCCTGCTCTGCCCCCTCCCCCCACAGTAGCTTTCCACAGCCCCACCACCAGGATCAAGAAGGAGCCCCAGAGTCCCCGCACAGACCCGGCCCTGTCCTGCAGCAGGAAGCCGCCACTCCCCTACCACCATGGCGAGCAGTGCCTTTATTCCAGGTGAGAGGGCCAGCCCTGGAGGAGGGGGGGGCGGGGGACACTCATGAGCAGAGGCAGCAGTTGAGATGCAAGTGAGACAAAAGAAAGGATTTCCGAGCTCCTATAAGGGAGCAGTACAGTGAGGATATCCTCTGAGTAGTGAGGATGAAAAACGCAGGAGTGGGGGCCAAGGGAGCTGTGTGAAGGCTGGCCGAGTTTGTTTCCAAGCCCAGTGGCTCTGGGCTGGGGAGAAGTGTTCTACAGACCACACCCCGTTTCAGCATGTATGAAAGGTGGAAAAGAGTGCATTTGGGACCGAGTCTGGCTCATGCCATTCCTTTCCCAGCACCCTGTCCTCTTCCTGCTCCTATAATCCCCATGCCCTGACTTCTCTGGGGGTGGATGAAGGGTTCAAAGATGCTCGCCTGGCTTCTCTGGCCCCTCACCCCTGTCTCCCCTCAACTCCAGTGCCTATGACCCCCCTAGACAAATTGCCATCAAGTCCCCCGCCCCTGGTGCCCCCGGACAGTCGCCCCTGCAGCCCTTTCCCCGGGCAGAACAACGGAGTTTCGTGAGATCCTCTGGCACCTCCCAGCCCCACCCTGGCCACGGGTACCTCGGGGAGCATGGGTAAGGAGACCCCCAGAATGGGAGCCGAGATCTCAGCAGTTTTCCCTCAGTCCCTGAGGGTCCTCCATCTGCCCTTAAGAGACCTGGTGTGGGGGGAGGTAGGGAGGAAGGGATATGGACTCCCACACCCACACTGGAGCCCACTCTGCAAGCTTTGGGAGTGGCAGGCACGAGGAGGACTTCATCTAATCCTCTCTTCCTTCTCCATCCACCCATATCCAGCTCCGTCTTCCAGCAGCCCTTGGATATTTGCCACTCCTTCACATCCTCTCAGGGAGGGGGCCGGGAACCCCTCCCAACCCCCTACCAACACCAGCTGTCGGAGCCCTGCCCACCCTACCCCCAGCAGAGCTTCAAGCAGGAATACCTTGACCCCCTGTACGAACAGCTGGCCATGGGCCAGGGTGGGGTCAATGGGCACAGGTACCCAGGGGCGGGGGTGGTGATCAAACAAGAGCAGACGGACTTCGCCTATGACTCGGGTAAGAGACATTTCAGGTGGGAGGGGCTGGGGTGAGATTGCTGGGTGGGGTGGCATGATAACCCCCAGAATGTCTTTCCACAAGTTCTTTACCCTCCTATCTTGTTACTGGTTCACAAACCCAACCCATTCACTTCCTTCATAGAGTCAGAAGAATGGTCATTTTTTCAATCAGCAAACTTATATTCAGATAAAAAATAAGTGGGATGTAGGTCCCTACCCTCAGGTAGTATGCAACTTAATAGGAAAGTTAAGACATTTCTTTCTATGTCTATTTAGCAGGTGTCTGGGGTTTTAATTACCTGTAGAGACCACAGTACTGTTTGAGGAGTATGAACTTGTGGATTTAGAGGATACAAAGATTAATAGGTTGTTCTCAGTCCCAGAGATGCTTAACAATACGAAGGGAGCCCAGGGTGGCTCATCAGTTGAGCGTTGACCCATGAACCAGGAGATCAGGGTTCGATCCCCAATTCGGGTTCAATCCCCAGTCGGGGGTGTGCAGGAGGCAGCCAATCAATGATTCTCTCTCATCATTGATGTTTCTCTCCCTCTCCTTTCCTCTCTCTGAAATCAATAAAAAATCTATTTTTTAAAAATACAAAGGGATTTGAATGAAGAGAAACATGAACTTGAAGCTAGCCAGGTTCATAGTCCCCAGTTGGGACTCAGGGTTAATACAACGTGTTCAAGCCCAACCTCTTGGCCAGCGCTGGGTACGGAAGTAGGGGCTGCTGTAAATTCTAGTTCCACCCCATGTTGACCTGAGTGAGATGCACTCAGCCATATCCTATTCATAAATAGCTGTAGTTCAAAGCCCCAAGTGCACAGGGATGGCCCTTCGCAGTGAGGAAGGGCCCAGAAAACCTTGGCTTGTTACACTTTTACCATCCCCGATTAAGTTTCTATGCAAAGTTGCATGAGAAAAATATTCAGCCATTAGAATAGGCTCAGAGCTGGCCAGAGCTTTCGAATTTCCCTTTTTCTGATGCACAGTCTTTTAGGGGCAGGGGCATGAGCCACAAACCCCCAGGCTGCCTGAGTGAGAACCAGAAGGGCGCACCTCTCCTCAACCCCGGGGCATAAGCCTGAGCCACGCCTGGCAGCGAGGTGCAGGAGAGAGGAGGGAGACGCTCTTGCCGCTGACCTTCAAAGGATGTAGACCGGAGGAGATCATGTTACTTGCCCTTGAACTCCTGCCCCTCCCCCTTCAGCTTCCTCTGAAAGGAGTCAGGAATTCCATTCACAAAATGGATGCATGAATGAGCCCACTCTCCCGCCTCCTCCCGGAGGTGTCAGGTTTCACCATCTCATTCATAGGTGGGAGTGGAGGGCCGAAGGGACTGGAACTTGAATGGGTGGCTTCACACCACCAACTCCTCCAGGTGGAGTGGGGATGTTTCAATCCTATGGAATGGAATCAGATGGAGTGGAATGTGCTCTGCTGTCAGAGCTGGAAAAAAAAAAAAAAAAAAACCCGGCCCAGTGCCCACTGCCTCTTCCCTAGTTACAGATCCATGCAGTCGCTCCCTCCCACCCACTCTCCTTTCCTCCACTGATTCCTCCCTCCCTCATAGAACACACTGGGCAGGGAATCTGACCTGCTGACCGGAGGTTAGCCCATTCCAAGGGAGTCTTAGACATGGACACTGTACCCTTTCCCCGGAGGTTCATCTCTATCCCTGCCTCCTCCCCCTAAACTCACAGGAAACAGCTGCTCCCTGGAATCCTGGGCCTTGTGGAACAGCTTTACCCAGCCCCAGCTGCTGCCATCCCTGCCCCCTGGCTCAGCCCTCAAGCTGAAGGGTTCCAGCCTCACACCCCCTCTGGGTGAACTTCCCCTGGGACTGTGGTAGGCAGGCAGCTGGGAACAGAACCGGAAAGCAGGCCGGCAGGAAGTTCTTAAGTGTGCTGCCCCCACCTCCACCCCAGCCACCTATAACATCCCCCTTCTTTCTCTACCCCCAGATGTCCCTGGGTGTGCGTCCATGTACCTACACACAGAGGGTTTCCCCGGACCCTCTCCAGGTGATGGGACCATGGGTAAGGCAGCCCCCTCTCCCTGCCAAGTCCTTCCTGACCAGGAATCCCTCTGGACACTCTGGGGTCTCATCAGTGAACCCCCAGATCTGAGTGACCCCCAACTTCCTCCTCAAGGCTATGGCTATGAGAAACCTGTGCGACCATTCCCAGATGATGTCTGTGTCGTCCCTGAGAAATTTGAAGGTCAGAGACGTGACTGTTCATGAGAGGGGCAGGTTATTTCCGTGCCCTCTGACTGTGTCACCTGGGAATCACATGACATTTCATGAGAAAGGGCCTGGAAAGACCCCTGGGAGAGAAGGTTGCTTGGGGGACCCGAAGGCACAAACCCTACACTCCTGTTTCCTGTGTTCCCCAGGAGACATCAAGCAGGAAGGGATGGGAGCGTTCCGAGAGGGACCGCCCTACCAGCGCCGGGGTGCCTTGCAGCTGTGGCAGTTTCTGGTGGCTTTGCTCGATGACCCAACGAATGCTCACTTCATTGCCTGGACGGGCCGGGGGATGGAGTTCAAGCTAATTGAGCCTGAGGAGGTGGGCCTCTCAGATGTTCCCCTCTCTCCTTCCAACGGATTTTGGGCCTGGAGATGAGAGAACCTGGGAACGGGCGGCATGCGTCTTCACCATCATCGTTGCTTTAACTAACCTGAATTCTCACCAAACCAGGGTCTTTGAGCTGGTGCTTATTTGCCTGACCAGCTCAGCATTTTGCACTAAAAATCTCAAGTGCTCTCTCTGACCTGCCTCTCGCTTTTCCTCTGCTGAGCTAGCATCGCCATCCCAAAATTCTCCTGTTCCCCCAGGTCGCCAGGCTCTGGGGCATCCAGAAGAACCGGCCCGCCATGAACTACGACAAACTGAGCCGCTCACTCCGATACTATTATGAGAAAGGCATCATGCAGAAGGTCAAGGGCTAGGGGTCCAGGGACAAGAGGGTGGGGGTAGGGGGGCAGAAGAGCATTCTCAGGAGTTTGTAGGAGCAGATAGACAGTGAACCAGTCAGAAGGGACAAGAAATTGTGGACAATCCCAAAAAAGTGCTAAACATTAAGAAGTCCAGAGCATGGAGAGATTGAGATTAGAGGTGAACCCCAGAAGGGAGTTGGCTGCTTAGAAGAACGAGTATGGAGAGAAATGTACTCCACACATCTGCCTAGACCCATTCCCCACCCTTAACATTGACCTGGAGTTAGACTGACCCAGCCCCTCTCTTCCCACAGGTGGCTGGAGAGCGTTATGTATACAAGTTTGTGTGCGAGCCTGAGGCCCTCTTCTCTCTGGCCTTCCCGGACAATCAGCGTCCAGCTCTCAAGGCCGAGTTTGACAGGCCGGTCAGTGAGGAAGACACAGTCCCTTTGTCCCACTTGGACGAGAGCCCTGCCTACCTCCCAGAGCTGGCTGGTCCTACCCAGCCCTTTGGCCCCAAGGGTGGCTACTCCTACTAGCCCCCAGCAGCTGCTCCCTGGCCACCGGGGTGCTGTCCTGTGTACATATAGATGAATTTGGTGTTGGGGAAACCCTCACTCTGAAACCCACAGATGTCTTGGAGCAGGTCCTCACTGGCCTATCAGCCGCCCTGGCCCAGACTCTGAGCCGTGCACCAGAGTCCATGGGAAGGACAAGTGGAGACACTGCAAGTGCAAGGTGGAGTCAGAAACTCCTGGGGGTCTCACCTCTGGCCTCTTCCTAAGTCCATCTTAGAGGCCCAAGTCCCTCCCCCACCCCCCTTAACATTGACCTGGAGTTAGACTGACCCAGCCCCTCTCTTCCCACAGGTGGCTGGAGAGCGTTATGTATACAAGTTTGTGTGCGAGCCTGAGGCCCTCTTCTCTCTGGCCTTCCCGGACAATCAGCGTCCAGCTCTCAAGGCCGAGTTTGACAGGCCGGTCAGTGAGGAAGACACAGTCCCTTTGTCCCACTTGGACGAGAGCCCTGCCTACCTCCCAGAGCTGGCTGGTCCTACCCAGCCCTTTGGCCCCAAGGGTGGCTACTCCTACTAGCCCCCAGCAGCTGCTCCCTGGCCACCGGGGTGCTGTCCTGTGTACATATAGATGAATTTGGTGTTGGGGAAACCCTCACTCTGAAACCCACAGATGTCTTGGAGCAGGTCCTCACTGGCCTATCAGCCGCCCTGGCCCAGACTCTGAGCCGTGCACCAGAGTCCATGGGAAGGACAAGTGGAGACACTGCAAGTGCAAGGTGGAGTCAGAAACTCCTGGGGGTCTCACCTCTGGCCTCTTCCTAAGTCCATCTTAGAGGCCCAAGTCCCTCCCCCACCCCCATCACAGAGAACAAGAGTTTGTTCTGTTCTGGGGGACAAAGAAGCACCCCTCCTTTATCCTGGTGGGGAGGATGCACTGAGCTCCCCGATCGCCCACTGTGGGGAGGCAGAAGCCTGGATCTTGCACTCCACTCCAAGCTGTGGCCCTGGAGGGTCCTGCTTGTCAGTTCTTGGTGCTCCGTTTCCCAGAGGCAGGGGCAGGGGAGGGGGCGCTGGAGGAAGGAACCTGGGATGGGGGCGGGGATGGAGGCAGGGAGGGCTCGGTTCCTGCTCTGAGGGCCCTTTGCTCTGCCCGTTCCTAGGCCCAGGCCTGGGGTGTCACCTCCACCACATCTGCCAGACCCTAATAAAGGCCCCTGCTTCTCCTGTTCTCCTGTGTCGTCCTCTTTGCTGCCATGGGAGAAGGACCCAGAGTTTAAAAGAGCTTGACCTTGGGGCAGATGACCAGTTTGGGGTGTTTCCCTGACAAAAGTTACCAAATGGGTTCTTGGGAAAGGACAGTTCACCTCCTTTTCCTCTGAAAAATGGGTTCATGGGCGCAGTGATACTTGCTCTTTTCCCCTCCCAGGATTATTGTGGGAACACCCTGAAATCATGTACATAGGGTACTTTGTAATCTCCCTGTGGGGGTAGGGCTACTGAGCTCTGAGGCCTCCTGGAGTGTGTTCAGGCAGGATCTGGCCTGTGGTTTGTGATCACAGTTGCTCCCGTGAGCCACAACAGCGTGTCCCCCCTCCTGCCATGGCTCCAGGTTGCTGTTTCTGCTGAAGTTGGGGACAAGAGTTTGGAGAGGATTTGGAGAATGGAAAAAGGCACCCAGACACAAGGGTGAAGGGAGGCTGGAACAAGCCCTGGGTTCTGGCCAGTGTAGGAAAAGGACACTAGATTTTTGGGGGAAAGGTAAGTGGGGATCAGCAGATTCTCCTTGCCCAAATCTGGGGGAGAGCAGAACCCTGGAGCCGAGTGTTCGTGGGGGGGCGGGGCAAGGCTGAAAAACCGGTGACACCTAGAGAAAGGAGTGTGAGTATGACAAAGGGGTTCTGTGGAGGTAAGAGGCCGTTGTAGGCCCAGGCCCTGTGCAAACAGCTTCCCAGGAGCCAGGTGCTCGCCAGTTAAATCCGAACCACAGCCATGCTGAGGCTGGACTGCCCTACCCTCCAAGCCTGCCACACCTCCACCCTAAGTTCCTGCTCAGCACTAATGCTAAGACCCAATAGTCCTCACAGGAAGGGATGCCCCTCGACCACTACCTACAAATAAAAAGCAACATTTTACTCCCCTAGAAACAAAATAACAATGTACTGATGTTTTCAAAATTTAGAGCAAGGAAAATAAAAATTTTAAATACAAGTGTAAATATATATATAATTATATATAATTTAATTCCACGTTAAAGCCAGGATATCACAGCGAGAAGGTGTAAAATTTGAATGGAAACAGGTCCTGAGCACTGCACATGACACAGGGATTTAGATGAGAATCAGCATCATGGAAAAACGTCTCGCAGGCTGAGACCTGTGACCTCTGACCTCTAAAATGTTCACTAACAAGCCACTCCTCACAACTCTGTTCAAAGCTTTAAACTTGGAGGGGCGCTGCTCGGAGGAGACAGCTACACCAGCCCCCTGAGGAAACTCCTCAGGCCAAAGGAAAGAGCCAAAACGTGCTCCAGACTGGATGAAGGTGAACCCAGGACCGAGAAGCCTGACCCAGCAGTAGAGCTCACACAAGCCCCCTGGGGACGGTCCCCCCACATCCACAAACAAGCACAGACTCAGCACATGTGCAGGGGCAGGAAACTCCTGAGCTGGGCTCCCGCAGGGGTGCAGTGAACAGTAGACTTTAATGGCCGAGAAGATTCCAGCTCCCTGCATGAGATCCACATCCTCTCCTGGGTTGTCACTCAACCTCGGGTAATATTGGCTCAAGGAAGAGAAACAAGGGCCCCGTTGTGTGGAAGCAGCAGGCCAGAGTCCTGAATTGCTGCAAGCCCCCTTCTGAGCAGACTGGGCAATGCGTTTCCTGATGGACAGTCAGGTCAGACCCCACCATGTGATAGCAGAGAAGTTACCCCAGCACCTAGGGGGGATGTTCAAGAACACCCACCGAGCTAGGATCCTTCATTTTTCGTACCAAAAACCCAGAAAGATGACCAGCCCTGCCTCTCACCTTGGCCTGTTAAACATCCCCTTCGCAACCTGAGCTTATCCACAAAGTCCATCTTCAGGGATTATGATCTCAGAGGTGCCAATGCCATCAGTGCTGGTCACTCATCTGGGACAGGTGGGCTATGAAGCCCAGAGTTGGTTCCTGGAGACCTGGGCTGGAATTAAGACTGGGGAGCTGGGTGCCCGGCCAATACGGCCTTTCCCGTTTCCTCTGTCAGCCCCTGCACTCTTCTCCCTTTAAGGCCTTAAGTGTTAGCACACAAACATCCCCCTGCCCTTAATTACAGGCCTGGGCTTCCTGAGGAGCGCACTCAAGCAGAACCGGAGGCTCACGCTCAGCTCAAGAGGGGCAGGGACCTCAGTCGGCAGACTCCCTGGCCTGTATTCCTCTCACTGGGTTCTCTGAATTGTGTCTTTAGAGCGACTTGTCTGCGGCCCAATGACAGCCTACATTCCTTCATTTCCTGCAATGTTGCATAGTCTTTCAATGTCTGGCTACACTTCTATGGCAGTTCTAGTATTTACATAATTTCAGAACTTACTAGAATGGGGGAGGTAGTGCAGGCAACATACAAGGTGCCTGACTGCCCAGGGGCTTCTAAACAAGCTCCACATCCAGAGCAGCTTTCCAGACGTCCCGCAGCCCGACCTGGCAGCCTCTGCCTGATGTTCTTCCTCGTCAAGAGCCTCCTCAAAAACGGGGAGAAGCCCTGGCCGGGTAGCTCAGTTGGGCAGAGTGCTGCTCTGATCTGCCAAGGTTGTGGATTCAGTCTCCGGTCAGGGCACATACAAGCAACCAACAAATGCATAAATAAGTGCAACAACAAATCAATGTTTCTGTCTCTCTCTAAAAAAAAAAAAATAATAAAAATTTAAAAATAACTGGGCACCGGGAAGTGGTTATTCCACAACAGAACGCTAAGAGCACACCACTCAGTGAGAGACCCAGAGCACAGATGCTGGGCAGCACAAGCCGGCTCTGAGAGGTGTCCTGTTGGTTTTCTGTTTGGGACAAGGGAGGGGAAGCTCTGACCATAAAAACCCTTTGTTAAAGCCCATCAAGGACCTCAGGGAAAACAAAATAAAAGCTTTGTGATTACTCGCACGTTTCAAAAGGAAATAGGATACGCTGCACGTGGTGAGTGTGGTAGGTGGGAGAGCCAGGGACAGCCTCTGTATTCAATGTGTGGCATCTGTAACCACTCAGGCGCCAGACCTGAGAGCCTGTGCAATGGAAGAGGTTCATCGTGGGGCGACCCGCGGCAGGGCTGGGACAGCGTAGGTGCTAAGACTGGAGACCTGCGCTGTGCATCACCTCTCAGCCTAAAGAGGCCCTGGGCTCTGGTTTCAGGGGACTCTCCACCATGTACACCAAAGCCCCAGATACTAAGTCCCCCCACCCTGAGTTCAGGCCAATAGCCTAACCTTTCAGCTCAAAGAAATCTTCACAGAAAACCATTTTTGTTTCCTTAAGAAAATAAATATTATCAGGTCAAGGGAAAGTACAAGGGCTGGACAGGAGCAGGAAGTGGGGCCAACACTTTCAATGAGCTTCATGGCTCCCTCCTCCATGCAGTACCAGCGAGGACATCAGGGTCCCCATCGTGTCCATCTGTCTGCATGTCCAGGTGTCCGATGCTCACAACCCATTTCCCATCCCAGGGCTGCACGAGTTACCCCTTTCTTGGAGATGATCCAGTGTCCCCCGTGTTGGCTGTGAGCCCCAGGTGGCCCCAGTGACTTGGGGTAGTGCAGGCTGGACATTCTGGTCAAACCAGGCGTAAATCCTTGTTTCTATTTTACCACAAGGGAAGAAATGCAAATCAAGTTTGGAAAATGTCCAGTTAAGATCGTATCCTCATGGTCAGCTTTTCAACAAAAAGAGTGAGTCCAAGCCCTGGGCCATTGCCGCAGGAGAGACAAACAAGTCTTGCCTGTCAGCGCCGCCGGAAAGCCCGGGATATTCTCCAGGCGTTGGGCTCCTCGTAGCGGTTGTACAAGGGTTCCAGGCGCT